CAAATAGACCAATGCATTTTAATGAGGGTTAATAGGAACAACCTTACTTTGTTGAAATGAGTATATCTGTTTGAGTCTAGGAAAAACTCATGAAAATTACTACTCTTTTTGGTATTGAGAATTCTATGGTGGGAAAAGTATGAGCCCAAATAACAATCTAAGTTAAGTATATATACATTATTTAATATAAATATATATTATTTTGGCTCATACTTTTCCCACCATAGAATTCTCAATACCCAAAAAAGCATAGGTTTATTTTTTTTACAAATACTACATATATAATATTTATATGCTATATATTTTCTTTTATAGGTTTTTATTAGCTTTTTAACCCAAGTGATTTGGGATCATTTCTAGAATTATTTTTAATGTCTAAATAGACTATTCATATTTATCAGAAAACAAGTTTTCTATTAAGTGGGAGTTTGAGGGTTTTGTTTACTCACAGCTGCGGTACTATTTTTTTTTTTTTGAGACGGAGTTTCGCTCTTGTTACCCAGGCTGGAGTGCAATGGCGCAATCTCGGCTCACCGCAACCTCCACCCCCTGGGTTCAGGCAATTCTCCTGCCTCAGCCTCCTGAGTAGCTGGGATTACAGGCACGCGCCACCATGCCCAGCTAATTTTTTGTAATTTTTAGTAGAGACGGGGTTTCACCATGTTGACCAGGATGGTCTCGATCTGACGACCTCGTGATCCACCCACCTCAGCCTCCCAAAGTGCTGGGATTACAGGCTTGAGCCACCGCGCCCGGCCTACAGTACTATTAAAGGAATTTTTCTTCCTCAAGGAGAGGGAGGTATTTTTTAGGTTTATTTCATTTTGCCTAGCAGGGAGACTATAGTTAGTAATAAAGTATTGTATATTTTAAAAGAGTTAAAAGAGAGGATTTTAATGCTCTTACAAGAAAGAAATGATAAATATTTTAGATAATAGATATGTTCATCAATCTGATTTGATCATTTTATAATGTACACGTGTATCAAAATATCCCTTTAAACCCCATAAACATACACAAATAGTATTTGTCAATTAAAAATAAAAATATATTTTTGACTTTTTCTAAGAATCAACTATAAGATCATTGAGTTGAAATTAAATTATTCTCTACAGTGGCATTCTGGGAAATATCAATTTCATTATATGAAATTTAAGCTCAATAAATAAATTTACAAATAAATACCGAGACCTGGTTTCTGTGCATATTTGTAGAGTCTCAGAAATTCCCACTCGTCACAATTTAGATGACCAACTCCACCAATCTTTATCCTTTCTTATGCTTATCCAACAAGAAAATTCAAGTCCAGTCTTTTCCCTGATTCAGAATAAACAAAGGTCAAAGTCTCACAAAATATTGAAATTGCTATGGAAAGGGGAGTGAGTTAGTCTCTTTGTGGGTATTAGAAGATAGATAAGACAACCAATCACCGACTCTTTTCAGGATCCATCTTTACACTAAATATGCTTTAACTTTCCCACTAAATCCTAGGAATTCCCTGTCTGCGATATGAACCACCGGGATCACTGTCAAATTGAGAGGAAATGTCATACAAATCATATCATTGAAGGAGAAAATAGGGTTATTCGTTTACAGCAATGTTTTAGGATACAGCTGGATTTGAAATGTGTGAGCATTCATGCATGCAATCATTATTCCTTTTACAAGGAAAAAAATTTTATAAACTGCAACTTACATCTGATGCCTAAAATTGTTACTAACATCCTAGCAATAAATGAAAATTGTTTAGAAAACTACCAGAAGTGACTAAAAACAATGAAACCCTGAAGTAAGAAAAGAATAGTTATTAGGATAAAGATAAAGCAACACGGATTTGATTCGATGTTATGTTACCTAGGAATTGTTGGTGTGATGTTATAAATACACGAGGTTAAAAGTTTTTTTGAGGGCTGGGCACGGTGGCTCAAGCCTGTAATCCCAGCACTTTGGGAGGCCAAGGCAGGTGGATCATGAGGTTAAGAGATCGAGACCATCCTCATCAACATGGTGAAACCCCGTCTCTACTAAAAATACAAAAAATTAGCTGGGCATGGTGGCGCGTGTCTGTAATCCCAGCTACTTGGGAGGCTGAGGCAGGAGAATTTCCTGAACCTAGGAGGCGGAGGTTGCGGTGAGCCGAGATCGAGCCATTGCACTCCAACCTGGGTAACAAGAGCAAAACTCCGTCTCAAAAAAAAAAAAAAGTTTTTTTGAATGATGACTATATAACACAAACTGAAATGCAGAGTCATTTACTATGTACTATTTATTATCTTAGGCCTGCAAATTCTGAAGTGATGCCAATTATTAACCTACTAATTTTTTTAATGTATACTGAGCACCTAATATAAGTACCGCGCTGTATTGGTGGATCTTAAGAGCTGCCAGGGCCACTCAGTCATTGAACACAGTTTTGTTAGGTTCTATTATATATAAAGCATAGTGCTGAGCACTACAAATATACATACTATTTACAAACCCTGCTGTGCAATAGAAGTTTACATACATGTAACATAATGTGGTGAGGTTTATATGAGAGATGGGCTCAAATCTTTGTAGGGATCCTATGAGGAACTCATAATGGTTTAAGGAGGTTAGGAAAGGCTGCACACATTTAATTTGGTTAAATCACACATTTAATTTGGTTCTCATTAATGGAGCTTTCAACTGATGATGTCTTTGAAAATAGGAGTCTATTGCCTAGCAGGTAAGATTCAGTTCAGGGTAACATATCTCTATCGTAGAAATTCACCTGTACAATATACCTAATGATTTGTTTCATCCTTTGGACTTTCCTGCTCTCCTTTTTTAAATAATGCTTTCTATTTGGGGAAGAGCAGGAAAATCAAAGCTCAACTGGTTGAATTCAGATTCTTTTAAGACAGTCAGAAGGGGAGGACAGGTAGCCAATCAGATATATGGGTATGAAGTTCAGAACACAGAATTTAAACTACAGATAAAAATGGATTCTTCCATTTGGATGGCTACTATATCAAACAGAAAATACCAAGTGTTAAGGAGATTGTGGAGAAATTGGAATTCTTGTGCACTGTTTGAATATAAAATTGAATTGCTACCATGGAAAACAGTATGGCAGTTCTCAAAAAAAATTAACAATAGTTTTGCCATATGATAGATCAATTCTGTATTTGGCTATATACTAAAAGAATTGAAAACAGGGCATCAAAGAGATATTTGCATACCCATGTTCATAGAAGCATTATTCATAATAGCTAAAATATGGGAGCAACCCAAGCATCCATCAGTGGATGAGAATATGGTTTGTACACACAGTAGAATATTATTCAGCCTTAAAAAACAGAAATGTCATAATATGCTATAACATGAATGCTCCTAGAGGGCATTATGCTAAGTGAAATAAGCCAGCCACAAAAAGATAAATATTCTATGATTCCACTTACATGAGGTACTTAAAGTCATCAAATTCATACAGCAGAAATGCTGTAAGATTTAGCCTTATACATATTTCAAGTTGTACCCCAAAATATGTACAATTACAATGTCTCAATTACATATTAAAACTTTTAAGCCTGGGCGCGGTGGCTCAAGCCTGTAATCCCAGTACTTTGGGAGGCCGAGGCGGGTGAATCACGAGGTCGAGAGATCGAGACCAACCTGGTCAACATGGTGAAACCCCGTCTCTACTAAAAATACAAAAAATTAGCCGGGCGTGGTGGCACGTGCCTGTAATCCCAGGTACTTGGGAGGCTGAGGCAGGAGAATTGCCTGAACCTAGGAGGCAGAGGTTGCGGTGAGCCGAGATTGCGCCATTGCACTCCAGCCTGGGTAACAAGAGCGAAACTCCGTCTCAAAAAAAAAAAAACTTTTTAAAAGAAGAAAGTCAACAGTGGTTGCCAGGAGGTTGGGTGGAGGGGAGAATGGGGTGTTGTTTAATGGGTGCTGTGCTTAATTGTGCAAGAGGAAAGCAGTGCTAGAGGTGGATGGTGGAACTGGTCACACAACATCGTGAAGGTACTTAATTGCACGGATCTGTACTCTTAAAAGTGGTTAAGAAGGTAAAATGCGTATAACATTTCACTACGATTTTTTAAATTTGGAAAAAATGGATAAGCCCCCACACTGAAATAGTAATGGAAGCCAATTTGTAGCATGAATGTAGGAAAGTGCCTAAGACTGAACTTGAGGAAGCCAGTGGTCAAGGGCTGGGTATATAGGACGAGCCTGTTAAGGGATGGGGAATGTGGTTCTGGAGGTGGGAGGAACCTAGATGAGTGCAGCATGATGGAAACCAAAGGAGGATAATGTTTCAGGAGGGAGGGGTCCAGTGCCAAATGCTCCCGAGAATGTAAAGGGCATGAAGGTGGAAATTCCCACAAGTTTTAACAGCACAACAGTCCTTGGTGACCTCCAGAATCGTGTTGTCCACCCAGTCTGGTAACCCTTCAAGACCATAAACTCCTTAAGAGCAGGCACCTTTAACAGGCTTCTACATCCTCCTGTTTTGCTTTTCACTTAAGAAGTGTCCAGTAAATATTTACTACACAGTGAGCTCAGATGATGGTATTTATGGTATTTTGGGGCAAGTGATGGAACTATAGTGTTTTCTGAATTTGTTGATGGTTACACAAATCTATATATGTGTTAAAACTGATGGGCCTGCACACCTCAAAACGTTTCATTTTATTGTATCTTAATTTCTTATTATTTTTTAAATAGTAAGATTCTTTTTCTTATATGGTGATGGGCTCTTGAGGATTTATTACAAAATGACTCTTTAAATCTTATACATATTTTCTAAGCAGCTTTTTGTATTTATACAAGATTTAATAACATTGAATTTTGAATTAAAATACCTAAAGTTTTGGCCAGTCACAGTGGCTCACACCTGTAATTCCAGCACTTTGGGAGGCCGATGCAGGCGGATCACAAGGTCAAGAGATCGAGACCATCCTGGCCAACATGGTGAAACCTCGTCTTTACTAAAAATACAAAAATTAGCTGGGCATGGTGACACACACCTGTAGTTCCAGCTACTCAGGAGGCTGAGGCAGGAGAATCGCTTGAACACAGGAGGCAGAGGTGGTTGCAGTGAGCCAAGATCATGCCATTGCACTCCAGCCTGGCGACAGAGCAAGGATCCATCGGAAAAAGAAAAAAAAAAAAAGCTAAAGTTTTAATTTAGGAGAAATAGAGAAAAGGTGGTAGGCAATACATGAAAATGCATGTGTGATTTAAGTCAATATTAAGATAAATGAAAAAGTAAACAATAAAAAATGAATTTCTCTCATTTTTTTTAACAGACAGGAATGGGCCACTTGCGTGTAACAAAAGACGGACTACGCTTGGAAGGGGAATCAGAATTTTTATTCCCATTGTATGCCAAAGAAATACACTCCAGAGTGGTAAGAAAATGTTGAAAGACAAATAATTTGTGCTTTATGAAAAATAAGTAATGTTTAAGCACAAAAATCAAATATAATTTAGAGAAGATTTTTAAAGTGTAAACGTGCACATGCTCATGATATGCTCTTTATAAAAAGCTTGACTATGTGGTTTTAGAATTTATCACTGATATTACCTCCTAAAAATATTTCCTTTTAATGTACTTCAGGTCTGAATTTCGTGGCCTCAGTAATTTAGATCATAATAAACTGAAGGTTTAGAAATGAAAATCTTTACCAAGAACAATTTAAACTTCTTTATGTCAGAGCAACTAACTTAAATACATTTATATTAGGGCATTCAAAATTATCTAAGAAGCTTAGAAAGAACTTGTTCATTGTATTATGTTCTGCACTTATTCTAATAACAAATTATGATCTGTAAGATTCTACACAAGTCAGCATTGTCATTAAATAATTATATGACTTTAAGAGTAAATCAAGGTTTTCTTCATTTACCTTCATGGAGCTTAAGAATAAAGTGCAATAAGTTGAAACAATGTTTGCTATATGTTCGATTTTTCCGTAAGTCATGCTATGAGCATTACAGTAGGGATGAACATTTTTCTAGATTATTGATAAGTGGCATTACTTCCCCGACCCACACAAAGTTAAAAGTTCACTGAGCTGTAACTTCCTAGTTATTTGAAAAGCACAGTCTTCATTTTTCTTTCATATTTCTGAATATGAAAGGATATTTCAGTATCTTCTAACAGCAGAGGCTGTACCAGCTACTATAGGAGAATTAAAAGAAACAAAAGACTTTCTAAGAAACATGAGGATTTGTTAGATAAAACATACTCCCGAACCAGACATTCACCAAGCTCTACTACCAATTGCAACATGACATGGCATGAATACCACAAAGAGAGATCCCGCTGAGTGAAAAGTACATAAGTAGCTTTAGGTGCTGTTATGTTACTTCTGGGGCTATCTTATTGGCGGTAGGAGCTGGCAGATTACCTGCAGTATCATAGGTAGGTAAGAGCCTGATTCTGTGAGGCTTACACTTACCTTATGTCATACGCTTACCAGAATCATGATGGTTTTTCAGTGTGTGAAACAATCCTGTCCTACAGGAGCATGAGGAATTAATACAAGCTTTTGTAAAAAGGGAGGTCAGACATGAGTGAAGCATTCAAGTCTTAGAAGTTGGCCCTCTTTCTTCCTCAGAGTTGTGTTGGCTGATCTTCTGCCGTATTTTGTGAAGAATCAGACTGGTAGAATGGCCTGGTGACTGGAATCAGGTGATAGGATCACAGCAAATTTAATATTCTGGAATTAATAATAACTCTCAGATATATTTTATGAGACTTTTTCATCTCCAGTATGCTTTAAAAAAAAGGAAGCAAAATTATAGAGAGTATCTCAGATAATCACATATTGAAGTCTTAGAATGTGGCATTAATGAGTATGTCAATCAATACATAAAGTTCAGTAACAATTTGAGTAACATTACTGATAACAGAGCTGCACGGTATTTTGAAACCAATATGGCTTTCCAATAAGAGCAGTCCTAGAACAAAACTGTGCTTCATAACTTCTGTATGTATTGACATATTAATTATAAATCTCCTTTGCAAAGATGAGTCTAGGAAGCAGTTTTCATAAAATTGCAGAAAAGAAATTACCTTATGAATTTGCAAATTTTGACACATAACTCATTTATGTGTACTCATGGGCTGAGAGAATGTCTTCATTATAAATATGATTCAACATGCTACTCTGGCCTCTAATATCTGGTTACCCGGTAACCCCTCAAAAGTAATACATGAGGGCCTGTATTGAATTCATACTTTGAATTCATGGCTTAAACCCATCCACTATGCCCATTAGTTCAAACACGTAAGAATTATTTCCCTTAAAACAAAAAGATTTTAAAAAAAGATACAGAGCTATGATTAAAAACTAAATGAAACAAACATGTGATAAAAAAGCTTTACTTGAAATGATCATCTGTGAGGTTCACAGCCCTGAAAAGAAGCTTTAAGTTACAGCCAAAGCCCACAGTGTGACAGGGAACAAACGGTCACCTCGTTGGGACATCAGGCAAGCCCACTGCATGAGATGGCACTGCAGACAGAACATAACTACTATTTAAATAAAGTGGCTACAACTATTTGAATAAAGGTACTACAGCTATTTGAATAAAGCAGCATATAAAAATAGCTACAAATATTTGAATAAAGCAGCATACCTGAGGGGAGGGGGATACAAAGATGTCATTCCGGAACCTGAATGTCGCTGAAGAGGGAAGCCCTAAGCCGTCACTGAAAGACTGGGAGGCCCTGTGGACCAAGTGAAAACAAGAGGAAAGACTTTAGACCGGCTGGTAAGAGCAGGAAGGTGGACACATCCAGAGAGTGGAACATAAAAGCTGAAATTTCATATGATGAAATCTTCATCTTAAGAAAAGCCCAATAAACTTTACAAACAGGAAAATCAATATCCAACTAAATAAGGTCAATCTGCAAATGACTAGAAAAACATACTTAAGATTCTCAAAGAGATAAAGCTATTTTTAAAGGAGTTTTACTTAATATAACACAACATTGTAAAATCGGAAGAGAAATTATAAGGCAGAAATGACAGGGAATAGGTTTACCCTCCTGCATTAAACAACTGAAAAATGAAAAAACACATGAAACAGTTGTTTTCAAATATTAGACAGTGGACAGCTCAGGGGACAGTTATCCCTGTGAGAAGAAAAGCCAGTGACTCCTCAAATTGCCTTAACTCACTGCAGGAAGAGAGTTTCCAGGCTGCAATGAGGGAGAGGAGCCAATGCAGACACAGATGATCTCCCTGAGTTGAGAAGATAGGGTTGGGAGGCCAAGGAGACCCAGGCAGCTGCAATTTGCAAGACAGAGTACTGCAGAGGAGGGGCTGCTGCACATGGAAGGTGCTCCAGAGATGGCAGAGGCTTAACCCCAGCCCACCCCAGTGAAGTCCATGGATAAATATTTATCAGTACATGTGTGTGAAGAAGCTACCTTAAGACTAGTGAAATACCCACTCAAAGGGAGCAAAAGGAACATGGCCTTGAGTTCACACAGAATGGGGAACACTTCATGTTCCCACCAGAGACAGTGGAAAACTTCATAAATTATGGGCATCAGGCAGAATACCAAAGGGCATGGCTGAGAAGTGATACAAGATCAGCACTAGAAGAAATCCTGCTCTAGTCCACTCTAACAAAGCTTAACAGGAATCCTTGAAAGTGTCATGCTTTTTCCAAGTGATTTGCTCCATCCCAGAACAAAGTTCTAAAAAACTACATTTCGTCTGTGTACAAAGGTCGAGGAAAGCATAATCATATTAAGGAGAGACATAAAATATGGAAAACAGGGAAAAAACACAAAATAATCTTCTAGAGATGAAAAATATAACATCTGAAATTTTTTAAAAGCCGATATTGGGACTAACAGATTAATAACCAACTGGACACGACAGAAGAAAAGATTAGTAAAGTTGAAGACATAGCTATAGATACTCTCCAAAATGAAGCACAGAAAAAATGACTAGAAAAAGAAAACAACAGTGTATCAGTAACTAGAGGGACAGTGTCAAAGGGCCTTATGTATGTGTGAGTCTCCAAAGAAGAGGAAAGAAGAAAGGACAAATATTATTTGAAAAGAATAATGGACAATTTTTTTCCAAGCATGATAAAAACTTTAAGCCCATAGATAAAACATGTTCAGTGAACCCCAAACAAAAGAAACAAGGAAACTATAAGGTACATTATAATTAGAGTGCTTAAAAACAAGAGAGAAAAATCTTAAAGAGAAAACAGATGTATCTAGAGAAAAAGAATATATAACATACAAAGGAGTGAAAAAAAAAAGATGACATCAGCCTTCTAGTCAGTAACAATTCAAGCCAGAAGACACTGAAGCACCAACTTGAAAGTACTAAAAGATAAAAAGTCCAACCTAGAATTCTATACCTAGCAAAAGTATCTTTAAAAGACAAAGTCAAAATAAAGACTTTTTTGGACTTACTAAAGCTGAAAACAAGTTACTTCAGCAATCCAGCACCACAAGAAATACTAAAGAACGCCTTTCTGGCAAAGAGAATGTGCTGCTAGAAGAAAAATTGAGATGTTCACCAGAAAAATTTTAAACACCAGAAATCATTAACATGTGGGTATACAAAAAATAATGTTAAAAAATGTTAGAAGACACTGTACTCAAAGTCAAAAGAGTAACAATGTATTTGGGGTGTTATAACAGGATAAAAGTAAAATGTATGACAATAATGAAACAAAGACCGTAACAGAGAAAGATAGGACTGCTATAACGTTCTCACATCACACATGAAATGGCAAAAAATCATTGAGGATGGACCATAAGAAGTTAAAGATGCTTAGTATATCTAAAGTAAACTCATAAAACAAAAAGTATAGCTAATATATCAACTAAGGAGATAAAAATGAAATGACAATTACTCAATTAATCCAGAAGGAGACAAAGGAAACAAAGAGAAAAGGTGTTGAATACGCAAACAAATAGCAATTTGGTAGATTCAAACCAACTCATATAAATAATTATATTAAAATAATCACATTAAATGAAAATGGTCAAAACATTCCCATCCCAATTGAAAGACAGATTGTGAAACTGAACACAGAAGCAAGATCCAAATAAATGCCATCTACAAGAAACCTACCTTAATTATAAAACACAAATAGGGTAAAAGTAAAAGGTTATACTATACTATACTATACTATCCTGACACTAATCAAAAGAAAAGTGGGGTGACTATATTAAAACAAAGCAGATTTCAGAGCTATATACAGATGGTCATTTAAGATGACATAGGAGCAAATTCTTCAATATTTATATTGCTAAACACTTGTGGATCTACTATCAGAGCATCAATATACATGAAGCAAAACCTGATAGATTGTAAGAAAAAATAGAGGCCAGGCGCGGTGGCTCATGCCTGTAATCCCAGCACTTTGGGAGGCCAAGGCAGGTGGATCACAAGGTCAAGAGATCGAGACCATCCTGGTCAACATGTTGAAACCGCGTCTCTACTAAAAATACAAAAAATTGGCTGGGCATGGTGGCACGTGCTTGTAATCCCAGCTACTCAGGAGGCTGAGGCAGGAGAATTGCCTGAACCCAGGAGGCGGAGGTTGCAGTGAGCCGAGATCGTGCCATTGCACTCCAGCCTGGGTAACAAGAGCGAAACTCCGTCTCAAAAAAAAAAAAAAAAAAAAAAAGAAATATTCACATTTAGACTCAGGGATTTCAGCACCCCTCTCTCAGTAACTGATAGGAGAAGTTGATATAGAAGCAAGTTTGTAGACTTGAACAATGCTCAACCAATTTGACATAATTAAAATTTTCAGAGCATGCTGCTCAACAATAGCAGACTAGGAGTTATTTTCAAGTGTACAGGGAACATTTAGCAAGCTAGATCATATTTTGAACCATAAAACAATCTCAGTAAATTTTTAAACATTCAAGTCTTGCAATTATTTTAGAAGATCAATAAAATGGATAAACCTTTAACCAGACTGAATATTTTAAAAATGCTATGTATAACATATATACATAGCATACATATATTTTAGTACAATAAAAATTGTTTTAAAAAGTAAAAAAAATCAAAGTTAAGAATGATACTTCTAAAGGGAAATAAAGAAGAAAAAATAAAGAAAAAGAGAAAAAAAAGTTAAAAAAAAAAAAACCCTGAAAATCACATTCACAATCTATAGACTTCAATTTTCAGTTTTCTTTTTTTTTTTTTTTTTGAGATGGTGTCTTGATTTTGTCGCCCTGGCTGGAGTGCAATAGCATCATCTTGGCTTAATGCAACCTCTGCCTCCTGGGTTCAAGCGATTCTCCTACCTTAGCCTCCTGAGTAACTGGGATTACAGGAGGCCACCACCATGCCCAGCTAATTTTTGTATTTTTAGTAGGGATGGAGTTTCCCCATGTTGGTCAGGCTGGTCTCAATCTCCTGACCTCATGATCCACCCGCCTCAGCCTCCCAAATAGCTGGAATTACTGGCTTGAGCCACTGCACCCAGCCGACTTCGGTTTTCTTAGCTAGACGATGGAAATGAAGTTCCTGGACTTCACAATAAACATCAGTTTTAATTAAAAATTTACCTGTTGATTGTTTTAAAGTACTTTTTTAAAAATGTAGATTAAAGAGCAATATAAGGTATTTCTTTTTTTTTTTTTTTTTTTGAGACGGAGTTTCGCTCTTGTTACCCAGGCTGGAGTGCAATGGCGCGATCTCAGCTCACTGCAACCTCTGCCTCCTGGGTTCAGGCAATTCTCCTGCCTCAGCCTCCTGAGTGGCTGGGATTACAGGCATGCGCCACCATGCCCAGCTAATTTTTTGTATTTTTAGTAGAGACGGGGTTTCACCATGTTAACCAAGATGGTCTCGATCTCTTGACCTCGTGATCCACCCGCCTGCGTCAGCCTCCCAAAGTGCTGGGATTACAGGCTTGAGCCACTGCACCCGGCCCAAGACATTTCATTATTATGGCAAATATGAATACAATTTTGTTGGTAATATAGATACAGAGCCACGTCTGCTCTGTCACTTATCAATTAAAAGAGCTTTGCCCTGTGAACAACAGAACACCCAGTTAGCAGTGGTGTGAACTAACAGGAGCTTGTAGTCTCACATAACAGGAAGCTGGAGGGGGCAGCTGCAGCATCGGTTCAGCACTCAACCATGTTAAGGCCAGAGTATCAGCCAGCCACCCACCTGCCCTTCATAATCACCAGATAGTTATGAGACCACATCCAAGACGTGTTATCAGGAAATGTGCAGTGTTCATGCATGTGCCTCTTTCAGAAGGAATGCAAAAGCTTGCCTGGAAACTCTGAGCCTCACCCTCTGCAAATCTCGGCTTACCTCCCATTGACCAGAATTGTGTCCCTTGGGTATCCCAAGCCTCAAGACAGTCTGAGAAAGCAAGCTGTCGTGGAAAACAGAAAAAGAAAAGGGTTTGCAAGTGACTCTAGGGTCAGATGACCAGAAGTGCATCCAAGAACAGCTTCCTTTGTCTGGGCTTGGGAGTGGATCTCACTGCTCTAACTGGAACCCTGTTTCCCATTCCAGGAAAATGGTCAAAAAGAGCCTGGAAGAGTGGGTATTTAAAGATTGGCTCCACCACGGAACTGTCACTGGCAGCTGTGTGTGGCTTTGAGGCAGCTGTAATTTACTCCCTGGGATCTCAATTTCTTTATCCCTATTTTAGGAATAATGGTACCTACTTTATAAAAGACAGGATAAAGTGAAAGGATCCATGCTAAAGTTAATTGATAAAGGGTTTAACTCTTATTACCATGCTAATTATTTTTAACAATACAGAAACAAGGGTTAAGGTCACATCACTGGATACCATAAGAAGCTGATAGATCATCGGCTTCCACAAAGAAAGTTGGAGAATTTCTGACACCTTAGAGTTTCCAAGGGCTCCTAAGACTTCTTTCCTTTTGAAACATCACATAATTCCCCACCACTCGAAGATACTTGGTTTCCTCCGAGTGAACCATAAAGCTGCCTGCATCCAACAGCCAAATTACTGAATTCCTTTTGAAGAAAATTGTTTATATAAAAGCAAGCAATCTTCTCTGAAACTAAACTACCTACCAGGCTTATGATAACAAAGAAAGTGTCATACTTTTGTGCTCATAAAGCCACTTTATCTTCAACAAAAGGTGCAAAAAACAGAGGTATCCAAAACTTTATCTTAATTCATTTGAAATTATGAGAGGCCTTTGTGTTTTTGAAAGTAACATGGTATTTCCTACAGGAAAGTTAACTATTCTCTGATTCATCTTCTTAAAGTATATCATGTCCTTGACACAAATAACCCACAAAAATAGAATTTTTATTCCTTGAAAAAGGAAAAGCACTGGTTAAAATTTGTTGTTTTAGATTTTTACCTTGTGGACTGAGTTGACACATTGTAACCAGTGCACATAAGCAGTGTAAACACGTGGGATTTTCATATTTTATGAGAAAAGTTAATGTATCTACTCCCTTAACGAGACGATTCAGAACTTTTTAATTGTAGGATTTCCAGGATCTGTGACAATGTATAAATAATTTTATATAAATCCTAAATTTACATACATAGTATTATAAAGATACAATCATTTTAAATAGCACATATTTTGCAAATTTTATAAATCCCTTTCTAGGACTCATCTCTGCTTCTACAATCAACTCAGAATGTGACTGTAAATGCACGCAACTCAGAAGGGGAGGTCACAGGCAGGTTAAAAGTGGGTGAGTCCAGCTTTATCACGGTGTTTTTCCTGCATGTGGTCCATGAAAAGTGCTAAATGGATGCATTGTTTTTTCTTCTAAAGAAATCAAAGCTACTTATGAACAAAGTATGAATTTTCTAAATATCATGCTGTGTTGACCACAGAGAATAGCACCACAGGGTAGGGTGGGGGAGGGACAGTCTGAAATGCTTTGATTAGAGTTATTTTCGTTCCAAGAAATAGAATGTTTATTGTAGGTTACCAAAGAATCTTGCGACAACCACACAAAAGGAACCCAAGTAGCTGGCCTTAAAGAGCACAGAGACCAGTGACTGAGAGCCAAGAGTAGATTCAAGTCTCTCCCTGTTCTTTCTCTTCTGTCTCCTTCTCCCCATGTGCTCCATTCTCCTTCTTCCCAGTGTATCTTTGCCACCATTTTCACTTGGCTGTATCACTTCTCACTGTACAGAACCTACAGGGCCTCCGTGATTCTTACCTGCTTAGCTGTAGTTATCAACATCAAACAGTGTAGTCTTCAATTGTGGAAATTCCAAATCCACAGAGTACTCTAATTGGCCCAACTCATCTGTCCCATCATATTCCATTGGGTCAGTCAACTATGTACACCCATCCTATCAACTAAGGCTGGAGAATAAGGTCACATGGGTGCAAGGTCACATGGAATCCAGCAAAGGGAGAAAATGATCAGCAAGAAGAAATATAAATGAAAGCAATATCAGAAAAGCAAACCAGCTGGTAAGAAGGAATGCAGGCCAGGGTTGGCAGCTCACACCTGTAATCCCAGCACTTTGGGAGGCCAAGACAGAAGGATTGCTTGAGCATAGGTGATCAAGACCAGCCTGGGCAATGTCTTTAAAAAAATAATTTAAAAACTTAGCCAGTTGTGGTGGTGAACATCTGTAGTCCCAGCTACTTGGGAGGCTGAGGCAGGGAGGATCACTCAAGCCTAGGAATTCGATTCTGTGGTGGAAGAAATCCTGTGTCTAAAAAAAGAGAATAAGAATAAGGAAAGTATATATATATATATATATTCACTATACCAACAACATTGGATAGATTTGCTAAGTCTAGGAAATTGGATGGCCTTTGTCATTATCAGAAAATAAATGAGCAGTGTACTGCCAACACAAACCTCCAATGTCTCTCTTTTTAATGGCTATTTTTACAAAAGAGAATAATGTTACATAGGAAATCACAGCCGTATGTTAATCTGATGATTCCTTTTAATTATACTTATACAAGGTGTTCTGTGCTTTATTCTCTGTTCTATAACTTACTGTTGATCATAAATTGTATCTCTTTGTGGCTTAGAAGTTTTGTTTAATAATTAAGTTCAATGGATCAGGAAATGAACCCGTTTTTCCTGCGTATACATTCTTAAGAGGTCTCTGAAACAAATACTTCCATGATAAATTACACAGTATTATCATATATCTTTACCATAATTTCTTGAAAATCTTTAACTGCCTGTAGCTTTCAAGCGTTTGAGGAATTTTTGCCATTTTTTTTCTCATTCATTTCAACAAATATTTGTTGACTGATTATGGCTACCTTATATGCTATCAAGTAATAATAAATAAAGAGTATGTAATTATTTCTTAGAAGCTACAAAAGTAGAATAATCTTCTTATATTCCTATAAAAATTAATTAGCACAAATACACATTCCTCTGTTTATCATTTTGTTAGATGTGGATTTTCATATCTCACACCAGGGACTTTAGATATAATATAAACCTGCCTCTCATTTCATAGATGAAAAAACTGAAGCCCTGACCAGTGAATTTGCTCAAGAGCACACAGCTAGTTATCAGAGAAGTCAAAACAGGAAAGACTGAGAACGAACTCCTCTCATCCAGCTGCTTCCACTGGCCCTCCTCTCTAATCAGATTTCTTGAAATTATGTCATGCCAGTAACTGTTCTAGTTCTGCAAATATAGTTTCCATTTCATTATTGTCACCAAGGAATTACCAGGGGTTATACATTTAAAAAAAAAAAAAAGGTCAGATGCCGTGGCTCACACCTGTAATCCCAGCATGCGGGGGGGCTGTGGCAGGAAGATTGCTTAAGCCTAGGAGTTCAAGCCTTCAGTGAGCTATGGTCACACCACTGCACTCCAGCCTGGGTGACAAAGTGAGACCATCTCTAAAAAGAAAAAAAAAGAAGGTACACACCAAAATTTCTTTGGTATGAACTGTTCGCCTCAGATCTCTAGTTTTAACTTCGGTGTCTCATGCCTGATAAAGTGATTAAATTAGTGATTTCTAGTAAATCTTTAGTTGGAAAGTCTCTGTTATATTGAGAACCTTGAGCTAGGAAATATCACCACGCTCACCAAATCCAAGGTTTTTATCAGTACATGACTTCCCACAGTTGAAACCCTTCCAGTCTCATATTTCCTGAAAGAAGGTAAATTTTGCCAGTTTGGGTGTTAAAATGTAATTTATGTGAACTAGCCACATTAATCTCATTTATTTAAATGAATAACTATTTTCTACAAAACCAGTGAAAACAACTGTCATTTAATACAGTCAAAACCAAAAATCCCAATTAAATTCTGACATGATTAGGATGTGTGTCCCCTCCAAATCTCATGGTGAAATGTGATTCCCAATGTTGAAGATGGGGCCTAATGGAAGTTACTGTATCATTGGCGGGGCGGGGGGTGGGGGGGATGCCTCTTAAATGGCTTAGCACCATACCCTTGGTGATGAGTGTGTTATCACTCAGTTCACATGAGATCTGGTCGTTGAAAAGAATCTGGGACCTCCCTCTTCTGCCTTGCTCCTACTGTTACCATGTGATGCCCCTGCTCCCTCTTTGCCTTCTGTAATGATAGGAAGCTTTCCGAGACCCTCACCGGAAGCAGATGCCGAAGCCATGCTTTTTACAACCTGCAGAACTGTGAGCCAATTAAACCTCTTTTCTTTCTAAATAACCCATCATCAGGTATTTCTTTATAGCAGTGTAAGGATCGACTAACACAGAAAATTGCTACTGAGGAATGAGGCATTGCTATAAAGGTATTCCTGAAAATGTGGAAGCAGCTTTGCTACTGGGGTTACAGGCAGAGGTTTGAAGAGTTTGGAGAGCTCAGAAGAAGACCGGAAGATGAGGGAAAGTTTGGAACTTCTTAGAGACTTAATAAGTGGCTGTGACCAAAATGCTGACAGAAATGTGGGCAGTTAAGAACAGGCTGAGGAGGTCTCAGATGAAAATAAGGCCCATCACCTGTGTGACGCCCTAGCAAAGAGCTTGGCTGCCTTGTGTCCACAACCTAGGACACAATGACTTAGGGTATATGGCAGAGGAAACTTCTAAGCAGCAAAGTATTCGAGAAGCAGTCTGGCTGCTTCTAACAACCTACAATCAGATATAAGAGCAAAAAAAAAACAAAAACCTTAAAACTTGAATTTATATTTAAAAGGGAAACAGAGTGTGAAAGTTTGGAAAATTTGCTGATTGGCACTGCAGTAGAGAAAAGATTCAGGCAGGCTGCAGAACAATCACATGCTGCAGAGATTAGCATGGCTAAAAGGGAGCCAAGTGCTAATATCCAAGACAATGGGGGAAAGGCCCTGAAGACATTTCAGAGATCTTCCAGACAGCCCATTCCCTCCCAGGCACAGAGGCCTAAGAGGAAGTCATGGTTTCAGGGACACTGCTTCCCACATCTCAACTGCTCTAGCTCCAGCTGTGGCTCAAATGGCCCCAGATACTCCTCAGGCCGCAGCTCTGGAGGGTGCAAGTCATAAGCCTTGGTAGCTTCCACATGGTGTTAAGTCTCCAGACCACAGAATGCAAGAGGAAGCTTGGCAGCTTGCACCTAGGTTTCAGAGGATGTGTAGAAAAGCCTGGATGGCCAGCCCGAGGCATGCTGCAGGGGCACAGTCCCCACAGAGAGATACTTTACTAGAACAGGGCTGAGAGGAAATGTGAGGTTGAAAGCCTCAAAGTCCCTACTGGGGCATTGCCTAGTGGAGCTATGGGAAGAGAGCCACTGCCCTCCAGACCGTAGAATAGTAGAGCTACCAGACACTTGCATCTTGAGCCTGGAAAAGCCATGGGCACTGGACTCCAACTCATGAGAGAAGCCACAGGGACTGCACCCTGTAAAGCCATAGGAGTGGAGCTGGCCACCATGAGGTGCCACCTCCTATATCAGTGTACCCTGGATGTGGGGCATGGAGTCAAAGGAGAATATTCTGGAACCTTAATATTTAATGACTGTCCTGCTGGGTTTGAAACCTGTATGGGGTCTATTATCCCTTTCCTTTGGCTGATTTCTTCCTTTTGGAATGGCAACATTGACCCAATGCTTCTACTACCATCATATCTTGGAAGTAAATAATTTGTTTGTATTTTATATCCTCAAGGTAGAAGGAGATAAATCTCAGATGAGACTTAGGACTTTAGACTTCATGCTGAAATGAGTTAAGACTTTGGGAAGGGATGATTACATTTTACAATGTGAGAAGAATGGGAGATTTGGGGGAGCAGGGACAGAATGATATGGTTTGGATATTTGTTCCCTCCAAATTGCATGCTGAAATGTAACCCCCAATGTGGGAATTGGGGTCTGGTGGGAGGTGTTTGGGTCATAGAGATGAATCCCTCGTGATTGGTTTAGTGCCCTCTCCTTGGTGATGAGTGAGATTTCACTCAGTTAGTTCACAAAAGATCTGGTTGTTTAACATTCTGGGCTTGGGGGTTTCTTTCCAAGGTGGCAATTAGAGGCATTATTAATTAGCATGCCTCTCCCACTTGGAAAGACAGTCTGTAGCAGATTATCCTGTAAACTTTTTCCCAAGAAGCAACTTAATAAAAAAGTTAAAGCACACTTTGAAAGAAGCAGTGGGGAGCAGCCTATACCGTGAACCAGGCGGGAAGCTCCCCACAGGAGACAGTGAACCTTCTCACACACCCAGCACGTCATCAATACAACCAGCATCTGAGAAAGCCATCACACAGATTCCGTATACCAAGGAACTCATACAG